GAGCTCAGCACTGAAGGACTGAAATGACTCCAAACACTGTTGTCCCTGCTTCCATACAGCGGTTCCCCATAGCGCTGCTCGTCCGGATAGTAGTGTTATTACAAAGGCTACTTTGGACTCCTCGGTGGGAAATGATGAGTGCTGTAGAGCAAAAAACAGTGAACATTTCGTCAGGAATGCACGACATAGTTGTGGCTCACCCGAATAGGCAGCAGGAGGAGGCAGGCGAGGTTCCGGGTTGTTGGTAGGACGGTCCGTGGGTCAAACAGCGGGTGGTGGATTAGGCGCAGTGGGCATGTGGGCAGACTCGGCTCTAAGATGTTGCAGCTGGGAGGAAAGTTCAGATACCTGCGCCACCAAGACCTGGACTGCTCGACCGGTCGCCGTGATCTGTTCGTCCTGTCGATCAAACCGAGCGTTGTTGTTGTGGATGTCTCTCAACTCGGTCACATTCGCTGGATCCATAACTGGTCAGATCGTTATGTCAGGTCACGAATCACAGGATCCAAAATGCGAATAAAGGTAAGGTTTATTTATAAACAGCAAGATAAATAGGACAGAAAGGCTGGTGAAGTCTCTGGTCGGCAGAAGGTCTTTGGCAGCGCAGGGTGACAGCAGTGGGCTGAACACGGTCCTGGAGAACGAGGATGACTGAAGAGATCAGAGAAACCCTCAGCAGGCAGAACCCAAAACGCACTGGTACAGAGACGCAGGAATATCCGTGAGACAGAAGTACCAAGGCTGAAAACTGCACAGAACACAAGACCAGACAGAGAACCAGCAACAACGAACATGACAAACACAGCACTACATATAGGACTCATAAATGAGGCACACCTGCGATTGATCTGATTGCTCGTCAGCACAGCTGACGCTGATAGGCAATCAGATCAGAGCAGTACACACAGATTGAACAAGCAAACCTGCGAACCGTGACAGTTTACTGCGACTTAGACTTGCTTGAGACTTACTTTTGACTTGGACATGTGTGACTTATGCCGCGTTCCAGGCAACCTGTAACCCGTGTTTTGCCAACCTTATACCCGTGAAAGTGCACTGGAACGGCAGTCATACTCGTGACTTCCCACCCGTGAACTCGTACTAGATCGATGTACTCCCAGTTACGAGCTCTGACATCACATAACCCGCGAAACCATACAAAACAGCAATGGTTTGTTTACATCTAGCTACCACAATTCCATGCGCTCAGGTAGTTTGGCGTGACTGGCTTGGAACGCGACAAAGTCGTGAGTCGTAGTTTGAAGTCGTGATTTACGTGCTCAAAAACCTGCCTGGAACGCAGCATAACTCCCCTCCCACTTCTGATAGATAGATAGATAAATAGATAGATAGATAGATAGATAGATAGATAGATAGATAGATAGATAGATAGATAGATAGATAGATAGATAGATAGATAGATAGATAGATAGATAGATAGATAGATAGATAGATAGATAGATAGATGTCATCAGTTCCATGTAATATCTCAGCAGGTCCATGATACACAGCTGTTAGTGATATATATATATCATATATCCATCAAAGGTCTTCACAGTGTCTCCCCCCTGATACACACACACACACACACACACACACACACACACACACACACACACACACACACATACATACTATAACACATATAAATACACCCGCACACACTGGAGAATTCACAGTATGTTCTCCGCTTACCGCCGGAGACAGAGTCTGTCTGCAGGAGCAGGACATCAGTGACACTTTCCCTTCCCCGTCTCGGTCTGGCACACACACAGAACATGGACACACACTCTTTATGCTTTGGTAAGGTCCACGTCATGAATCTAATCTGTGCAGTGATTGGAAAATGTTTGCATGGGTATAAACTGGTGCCTGTTTATAGTTCAGTTTATCAAGCTGAAGAATGGTTCGTTTAAGAGATGTTTGAACTTTCAAAATATGTCATGATGTTTTCAGAATTTGATGCAGAGATTAGTTCGATAGTTTGATTTCAGTTCAAAGGAGTAAAACTAAATTTGTTACAATCTTACTCAATTAAAAGTTTAACCAGTGTTTGTTTAGTGAAAGTAAGTAAATAAAAATAAATAGGATGAATTCAGGTTGATTGGGACACATTTCCCCAATTCATCTCAATGGCAAAAAGTCTCAATCACCACTAAATAAATAAGTGAATATCAAGCGACTCTTATTAAAGTATTAAATAAATATTTATATATTTCACCTCTTTATAAACAGATCGATGATATATAGAATCAGAGAATTTCTCATTAAAGTAAATTTGAAGCTCAACCTTTTCAATCAGTTTTCTACTGTGTGGGATGGTTTGGTACTGACTTGTTTTTTTTTATCATGTAAGGAATTTCCCCTGGTTTGACTGTTTACATGCAAAACTTTAATTTCGGATGAATTGATTAATCTGAATGTTCTGTGTGTTGTCTGCCACCTGCAGGTAAGTGTGCAAAGTGCACAGGAGGCATTTCTGGTGCTGATCGGGCCTGCCAAGCCATGGGACAAGTGTACCACGCCAGCTGCTTCTCCTGCTGTGTCTGCGGTGAGACTCTCAGCTCATGTGACAGTTCAGATGCAGAGGAATATTACACAGGGAAGATGACATGAGTATACAGACACAAAAACATATCAGTTCAAAGTACTTTTTAATGTCATATAGTGTACACAGAGCCCCTAAACAGAGTCACTAAAGGGACATGGTAATGATAAGTAAAGAGAATTGAGGAAACAAAACATTTTTAAGAGAACACGCAAATGTTTCTCATGTGAACGCAATATTTTTACGAGAGAGCAAAACATTTATGAGTGAACGAAAGAATGCAGAGTTTCCCTGGGGACAACAATACTTTTACAAATCAGTTTTGTAAATACTAAAACCTCATTGTGTAAGAAACACGGGGGGAACAGAATCCGACAGCAAACGCTCCTCTTATCAGAATCAGTTCCTTTAAAAGTGGCTTTAGTGACTTTACATGTAAAAGATGCTGATTCTCTACTGTGTGTGAATGGAATCAGGAATCAGGAAAAGGCCACAGGCAGGGACTCAAATATATATATTTACGGTAGAACGCAAAGTTTTTCAGGGGAACGCAATAATTTTACCAGAGAGCATATAGTATTTTTCAGGTTACTACAAAAAAAAACCTTAAAATTTCCATTACTTTTATGAGAGAACACAAAGTTTCTTGCAATACTTTTACGTGCGAACTAACTTTTTTACCAGAATATGCAAAGTTTCTTAGGGGACCGCAATACTTATACGAGAGAATGCAAAGTTTCTTGGGGAAACACAATACTTTTTTGAGAGAATGCAAAGTTCCTCACGCAAAGTTTCTCGGGGGAACGCAAGGTTTTTGTGAGCAAACGCAAAGATTTTCGGGGGAACACAAAACATTTGCGAGAGAACGCAAAAGCATTGACTCATTATCTTTCCTCCCATCAAATTTTTCCCCCCACCACCATGTCCCTTATGGGCTCTGTGCAATGCTTTTACAAGAGAACACTATAAACTCAAGATCATGTGTGTTTTCTTTTCTCTAGGCCAGAAACTAAAAGGAAAGCAGTTTTATGACTTTTCAGGACAGGTGTTCTGTGAGGAGGATTATTTGGTCTGTGGTCTTGTCTTGTTTATTAATTATTTCTTGCACTCAATTTAGAGGGCAAGAGTGCTTTTAATGCTTCTTTCTTTTCTAGTATTCCAGTGTCAAGCACTTTGCAGAGGTTTGCACATCCTGCGGATATTTAATCACAGATGTGGTCAGTCTGAAAGCCATTTTGAGTGTTTAATGAATTTAGTGGATCATGTGGCATGTGGAAATATTAAATAAAATGAACTAAGATTACCTCTGACCCCTTTAGGTTCTCCAGGCTTTGGGAAAGTCTTTCCATCCCGACTGTTTCCGCTGTGTCATCTGTAACGAGACGCTGGAGGGACAGCCGTTCAGTGTCGACACACAAAACAAGATATATTGTGTGAAAGACTACCACAGGTGACGAACATGCTGGCATATGGACACTTACAAGACAATGAATAGGCCTATGTAATCTAATTATCAAATAATGAAGGATCTCCAAATCATTATGTCAAAATCAAATTTCCCATATATTTATTAAATATTTTAGCCATTCATACCAAATGAACCCCAATTATAAGACATGAACATTTCTTCATTATCTCATTCATGTATTATGTAGTAATATTGATTTGTGTGTGTGTGTGTGTGTGTGTGTGTGTGTGTGTGTGTGTGTGTGTGTACTTTGACATAATTTTTCTTTAACAGGTTTCTAGCCCAGACCTGTGCTGGATGTGAACAGTTAATCCTTCCCACTGAGGTATTTTATTATTATTTTGCAAATATCTTTTTATTTTTATGTAGAAGTATATTGTATGGTCATCATATAGCCTATTTGATCTCATCATGATTTGAAATATAGTTTTTTTGTTTGTTTATGTCCACAGGGTTCAAATGAGATTGTGCGAGTGATGTCCATGGGCAAAAGCTACCATGTGGCCTGTTATGAAGGAAAAAGTGACATTTAATAACTGTATAGCCTATTTAATCCAGACTGAAGAAACTCTGTTCATAATTGTTCAATTATAATTATTCTGTGTTTTCAGCTAAAATATGTATCTTTTTGACATTCATATTTATATATAAGAAAAACTTGACAACTGATTTTGTAATTTTATTTAAATAAAATGTATTATGCACTGCCTATTGTGGTCTTTATGGTATCACTATGTTGAGGACTTGTATTATGACATTACCGGAAGAGGCGGAAGTCATCTATTGTTTTCAACACTGATTTGACGTTTGGCGCGTTCAGTTGAAAGTTTAGTGAGTGAAAATCAAGCATATAGCTCTCTCTTTTATATAAGATAATTATTCTCTTTTATATAAGATACATATGTCTCTATAACGGACATGGTCTTTTTATAGCGAGTCCGAAATACATGTTGATGTGTTCTATGAAGGAATTTAAAACCCCGGTTGTTGGATGAGTTTGTAAGTTACTTGCTATATTGGTTTTCACGGATAAAGTGACCAAATGGATCGATACAATGATGTAAAAATCCTCCTGAAGAAATGGGAACAATCTTTCTTCCAAACAAACAACAGAAAGCCCAATAAGGTATCGGGTAACGTTAGTGTTGCGTATTGTTGTTGTATGTTATGCTATCTGTGGTTTCCTTGTCTTGTGTTTTATTTTGTTGTGCTCAGTCTTATGTTTTTTAATGTTATGTTGTTTTGTGTTTTCTTGTGTTGTTTACTGATAAATGTCATAGTTATTGTGGGTATATATTTTGTTAATTGACTGACATCTTTTTATGTGATAATGTACAAACATATCTTTTCTTTTGAAGGATGACATTGATAAAGCTCCAGAGGAGACGAGACGTAAGATTATTTTGTTGTTAACTTTGTTCATGTTGAGCTTTCATACTTTGTTTATTTGTTTGTTTTAATTTTTGATTTGTATGTTCTTGTGTTTGCAGAACTTTATAAAGAATATCGTTCTCTTAAAGAAGCAAAAGAAAGAAAGAGCTCAGAGGTGGAAGATCCACCAAACCCCCCGGAGAGTCACTCATCTACAACTGTGAGAATCTACTTCATTTGAACATTCATCATCAGCCGTCTTTATAGTTTCTGAAGATAAGCACCTGTCATATATGTAGATCCAGTAAATGTTTATGTTCACTGTTTTAAGGGATCTGGATGCTGGGGATCTCACCTTAACCGGAAGAACCTGCCGGCTGCTGTGCCGAAACTCTCATCAGATGATAAAGAGACGCTGAAAGCTTCAGCTCAGTACTTTGGCATGAAGTTGAAGAACAATCTTGGAGCTTTTACAAAGGTGAATATGACGTATCACGAGCTGTGTAATACTACTTAAAAACTATATCTTTATATAGATTTTTTAGTCTTTTGAAAATGTGATGTTTTTTCAGTCAGCGTAGCAGTATTTGTTCCAAACAGCTGTTATAATGTACTTTCAAAAAAATTAATAAGTAATAAATAATAAAATAATAAAATAAATATAAATTTAAATTAAAAAATATATAATTTAAAATAATATAATTTATTTATGTAATTATTAAAAAGGTAATCAAAAAGATATATTTTTTCTAAATTTTTTACTAAATGTTTTTAGATGTTTTCGTTAAAAAAAATAGTATATACAGTAGTTGTTAATTTTTATTACGGCCTATTATTATATGGGTTAACACGTCCACTGATTATGACTGATTTTGACCATATTTTGTATATAATACATATTATTTTGTATTTAAAACATTTAGATTGAAAATGTGATTGAAAGTGGATACTTCTTTTTAATTAAAAAGGGTATAATTTATATATTTTGTTATATTGTTCAGAAACATTTACTCTGATTAGTATGTTGCAATGGGATCTTTACTATATTGTACTTCTTGCATTTCTCAACTTAATCTATATGACATTAATGGCTGTTTTGAACAAATAATGAATCTGACAGAAACGATTCTTAATAAATGTCATTAGGAGAAACAGGCTGCAGAATATCTGTCCTCTTATTTCCTTGTCGCATATGCTAAATTCTAGGAACGATCATTTTCTCTGAAAAAAGCTACAACCCCTCGCCGAACGCCAACCAAAGCACTGCAGGACACTCCCAACTCCAGCACAGCACCGACAGGTGTAGAGACTCACACACCGAAGTCAGCCAACACACACCCAGACCCCAGCGCTCCTCCTGTACAGACCAGCACTGAGTTTGAGGATGAGCCTTCGGATCCTTTCCCTTCCGTGACCCCCTCCAAATCCTGGTCTCCATCTGTGGGATCCGCGCACAAGAGCGTGGAAAGGCTCCAGTTCCTGAGGCAGTCCATGACCAAGAGGATTTCTTCTGTGGACAGTGGCTGGCTTGCACGCTGTCAGGTCTTCGATGAGGTGGAGGAACCTCAGAAACCTGTCGCTGGGAATTCAGAGCTAACGAAAAACAATAATAGTTGTTTACCGCCTACTGTTAGAAGCGAAACCGTGTCAACTCAGGGTCAAACATCCCCAAAGACTTCATTACAGAAGAGTAAATCTGACTTGTCAGAGGACGAAGCACAGAAAGGCCCTGTAGTGTCTTCAGTAAGGGACAATGTGGTGCTGGATGCAGAATTGGTCTCCCCGGGGCCTCATGGTGAACGGGTATATCAAAAAGACAATGCAGCTCTCACTGGAGATGGTGAGACGTGTTTAGAGGAACCCAAATCTCCTGCAAAAACTAAGAAACGCAAACCCAGGGCCAAAAAAGATCAAGACTCGGGGGTAAAAACACAGGCCGAAGGAGGCAAAAAAACAAAAGGTCGAAAAAGACAAAGGGGCGATGATGTGGATGAATCTGAGGAGCAGGAAGGCGCAGTGAAAAAGAGAAGGAGAACTAAAAAAGGAGAGGCAGCTGGGGAGGATCAGCCCAAAAAAGGAGGGAAGAGGAAAGGAAAAGTCGATGAGGAGGATGATCCTTCCAGCTCAGAGGAAAAGAAACCCCAGAAACGAGTGATTCCTCAGGAGAATCTGCTGGGAGAGGTGGATGAGGAGGAGGCCAGAGCCGCTGCATACACGATGAAGAACACCGCCAGGGTCAAGTGGGTACCATAAGCTTGCCAATAGTCACATATTTGTGTGTTTTATTGATTTATCATTCTCATCTTGATCCAGGCCTACCAAAAACACAGATGGGAACTTTGTGAAAATCAATTTGAAGAAGAAGTCCCATGTCAAAGGATTTGCTTTGAGAGGAGCCGCAATGAGGAAACAGGTCAGGTGATCTCATGTTAGAACATCAAAGATCTTCTTTAAATGAACAGTTTAACCAAAAATAGATATTGTCATCATTGAGATGCAATGTTTGTGTTGCTCTAAACCCATTTGATTTACCTTCTACAGTGAAACACAAATACAGATTTTTTTTAAATAAATTTGACCTGCCATTTTTACAGTCACAGCATATATCTTCCATAGCTCTTAAAAAAAAAAAAAAAAAAAAACATATAAATAGTCAGTCAGAATGACATGTATATTACATTATAATCTTAAGAAGTCATAAAATAGATGAAATTTTAAGCGGTAAGTCTTTTCCCTCCATCATAGCTCTAAACTTTTGCCGTGTGGCATTGTTGATGTCAGATTTGATGCATCTTGAGTTATAAGGCAATTTCTTTCTTTCTTTCTTTCTTTCTTTCTTTCTTTCTTTCTTTCTTTCTTTCTTTCTTTCTTTCTTTCTTTCTTTCTTTCTTTCTTTCTTTCTTTCTTTCTCTCTCTCTCTTTCTTTCTCTCTTTCTTTTTAAAACAAATCATTTAATTTAAACAAATCAATTTGTTAAAATAAATCCTAAATCCTAAAAGAATATTGTTAGGAACCTCTCAAACAGGGATATTTAGTTTTTTGTGTATTTATACGGATTGTCCGTCCAGAAGTATGACCAACGTGAATTGAGTAAATCCGAACGAAACTATTTAAATAATTTAAATGGTTAAAAAATTAGATTATAATTGTATTAAATGCTGAAACTCTGTGTTTATAAAATGCTTTTAAGTGTGTAGTTGACGTATGTGCTTTTGTCAATGCTTTATAATTGCAGATGTACATGCAGAAGTTCCAGCTGAAGGGCGAGCGGTTTGGCGGCGGGTTCGGGAGGGGCCGGGGCCGGTTCGGCGGCTTCAATCGTCAGGGCGACACCTGTTACAAGTGTGGCGGGACGGGCCACTGGGCACGAGACTGTCAAGGAAGAGGTGAGATGAGGCTGCGCGGGTCACATGACTCTGCTCTCTGAAAATATGTTATGACATCATGTGCCTGGGTTTGTGTTGCAGCTCCTGTCGTGAGTTCTGCAGAACAGCAGGAAACCCCAGTAGAGGAGGAGGAGTTTGAGCTGCCCACGCTGGAGGAAGTTGCCCGGGCGACAGGAACTCTGCGCTCAGAGCCTATTGGTGGGTCCGCATGGGGCACATGTTCACATACTGGGACAGATGCCATACTTTCTGTAGTCAATTGTCACAAAACACCCCTAGGATGATATATTGCAATATGACTTAAGGCAATAGTTAAAACAAGAAGACTGCGATTTTTGTAAATATATGCGCTGTATGAAGCTCAGCACTGTTCATGCTCATTGACTGTTACCTGGGGAAATCTACTGTATGATTTTTCACAGTACATATTGCAGAAAAACAATTTCATGCAGCCCTACTAGCAACTAGAACACCAAAGAAACTGGATGGCAGTGTGCAAAAACATTTAGAACGACATCATGGCAACCAATGTTTTGCTCTCTTGCCACAGTGGCTCCTCCTGTTGTGGGCGGAGACTCTTCTGAGAAGGCGGAGCAAGGGGAGGAGATTCTGCTCAACATCATCAGACCCGATTATGAGCGGCCTGCCCCTCCTCCACCTATGGAGCCGCTCTACACACCAAAGGATGATGGGAAAGTTCAAGGTACTTGAATGGTCTTTAAGAGCTTTAATGGTCAGTAAGAGCTTTATTCTGTGCAAATGTCCCTATTTATTCTCGTTCTTCTCCTGGGATTTTCCACAGATGTCCCTCCAGAGGTGTACGAAGCGCTCCGAGACTTTGGTTACAAGTCCTTCAGGCCTGGCCAGGAGACGGCCATCATGAGAATCCTGTCAGGTGGGAGATTACTGCATTTCTTTATTTCCTTTTTTATTTTTATAAGACAGTGGAGTGTCATGTTGGGGGAAAAAAAACCCCACAAGTCTGCATTTTCCACGTGTCTCTGTGTGAAGGAGAAGTTCAGGTCTAGAACACATATTCAAGCCCACGTGAAGCTCGTGTTGTTTTCAGCGTCTGCTGTTACTCTATTTACACCTGGTATTAAAATGCTTTTTGGTCGATCGGATCACGAGTAGACGAGGGAGACACATTCCCGTTTACACCTGGTGTTTTAATCCGTCTCTTTTGTCCACTTTCAGCCACTTCTGCCCTGATGTCTTTGAGGGAAAATTGTGTTTTTTCAGATCTTTTGATCCAATGGACAAAATAAGCTCACGCAATTTACATGTGAACGTGCGGAGAGAGACGCAGCTTTAGTCGGCCGCAAGACCAGCCGAGTGTGTGTTAGAAATCAGGAATGGTGGGAGGAGAACATTGTGCTTGGTATGTTTATCATCTTTATTCCAAACTGGGGTCTCCAGTCGACAACGTTTAAATCCCGTCTGTCTAGCGCTCTTCCCATAATGTTCCCGCATTAGTTCAGTAGACGGTCTATTGTGGCTGTTTGAACGCATTCGTTTACACTACGAAAGCAATCCAGTCGAATGTGTTTTCAACTTTGGAAGCGGTCGAAAGTGGACAAGCTCAAAGCGTTTTAGACCCGTTTACACCTGTATTTAGCGTCGTCCACTTGTGATCCGATCGACCAAAACGCATCTTAGTGCCAGTTGTCAACAGGGCCTATACGAGGACATGAACAGTTGAACTTCATCTCCAGAGAGTTAAATTCCCTGGCATTTACCATCTCATTTGATAAGTTACTATGTGAAAGAAAAATATTCCCAAAAACCTGATTTTCATTTCAAACTGCATTTGAAAGGATTTTCTACAAATTTTTGCTGTTGATGAGACTTTCAAAAAATGGATTTTACTGTTTAAAGATTTTTTTTTTGCTGTTCAGACAACCAAAAAAGGGAAATGAATTTGAGTCTGAAGTGAAGTGTGCACAAGCGCTGAGTAAAGCCGGTGCTCTGATCTATTGGTGGTTTTGTTGTGGTTTAGGTCTGTCCACACTGGTAGTTCTGTCCACTGGAATGGGAAAGTCTCTGTGCTACCAGCTTCCGGCATACCTGTACGCCCAGAGGTCAAAGTGCATCACGCTGGTGGTGTCTCCTCTGGTGTCTCTGATGGACGATCAGGTACGTCTGACTCTGCAGTGGGAATTAAATTCTTATTCATTTACTAAGCAAATTAAATGAAGCACGGTATTGCTGTTTTAATTATTATTTAATAAGATATATTCTGTAGATAATAATTATTAAGAGCATTTAGATTAAAACATCTCGTGGAAGGTTAGAGCAGCCGTTTAAAGTGTTTTTGTTTCATTTTTACATTGATTATGAAGCTTTCTGGACTCCCGTCGAAGCTGAAAGCCGCCTGCATCCACTCCAACATGTCTAAGAAACAGAGAGAGACGGCCATTGAGAAGGTACAAGACTATGAAGTACTCTTTAAATGATTTATAACTTTTGTAAATTTATGGATCTGGAATGTATTTAGTCATTTTTAGCACAAGTACATTTAAAGAATCTTTTATAGATCATAAGTTTGTTTTAATTATGTTATACTTATAATATTATGTTGTTAAATGTTTAATATATATCTGCCATGTAATAGCCGGTGATGCTGATATGTCAATAAACTCAAATAATACTACTACTACTACTTAAATGATATGTAGCATGTCTTTCAATAAAGTTAGGATATAGCGATAAACCACGTTAAGTTTTCGTTTAGTTAACGATAACAACACTGGTCCTAACCTGACCAGTAACAGCGTCACACATCAAAAAATTTAAATGTGTGAATCACGTCTTGATGCATCTTTACTAGTCAGGACTCTGTGTTAGTTGATGTCTGTTATTGTGTGTGTAGGTGAAGGCCGGTGAGGTGCACGTCCTGCTGTTGTCTCCTGAAGCGCTGGTCGGGGGAGGTCACTCCGGGTCCGGATGTCTCCCCCCTGCAGACCAGCTCCCCCCGGTGGCCTTCGCCTGTATCGACGAGGCTCACTGCGTGTCTGAATGGTCGCACAACTTCCGACCCTGTTACCTGAGACTGTGCAAGGCGAGTCTCTCAAATGCATTGGAGTTTTCTGCATTCGATCAGTGCAAAATCAATGTGAGTGTGTGTTGCGTAGGTGCTCAGGGATCGGCTGGGTGTGCGTTGTCTGTTGGGTCTCACCGCCACGGCCACTCTGTCCACAGCGCTGGACATCGCCCGACACCTGGACATCAGCGACCAGGACGGCATCGCTGTCCGCTCCGCCGCGGTCCCTCACAACCTCCAGCTGTCAGTGTCCATGGACAGAGACAAAGATCAGGTGCGTTTAGTCTTGCTTTTTAATGTTAGCAGTTGCACTCCAGAGCAAGTCAGATGCAACTAAACAACATGAAACCTTCAAATTTAGCTGAAAACAGCGATTATTAGGATCATAGATTATGTGGATGACAGGTTACAGTTGTTTTGGTGGCATATTTCAACTGTCATGGTCATACAGTTGTAGATATTTGAGTATTGTTTTAGTTATAGTGGTATTTGAAATCATGTGTACCAAGTGTTGGGAACTTTGTCTTCACAAGATACAGGACAAAAAAAACAATTGTTTGTCCAGAAAATTCAAAATGGACGAGAAATGGATGAGAAATTGAAAAGTAATGGAAGAGAAATGCTACATATATATATTAGATTTTTTATATAATTGTATTTACAGCTATAAAACTATAATAAATCATTAATAAATATATATACTAAAATATCAGTGTTATTTTAGAATTATTTATATACTGTTATAGTACTTATTCATATTTTGAATATATTATAAATTCGTTTTTGTATTTTTTTTTTTCATATATTTTTATTTAGGTTAAATTTGTTTTTATTTCATTTTTAGGTTTGAATTTTAGTACTTTGACTTTGACAAACATTTTATTTGAGTTAGTTGCCAAAGCAACAATTTTAATTTTTTTTCAATTATGAAATACTTTTAAATGTTTTTCAAGTTTTTAATTAACAATGACAACACAGATTTATTTTTTATTTATTTTATCTGCACCAAAACTACTGACCAGATCTGGTCCTGAATTGTCATTATTCTTTGAATTCAACTTCAGTAAAACATTTCAGTAAAAATGGATCATCGTGGTACAATATTTTGAACTTGGTTTGAGATCTTTCAGAGAGATGCGTAGTTAAAAAGTGCATTTTTCATGCAGTAAATTCAGAGCTGTCTCAATGTTTTCTCCAACAGGCTCTAGTGTCTCTGCTGAAGGGCGAACGCTTCGGCGCTCTCGAGTCGGTGATCGTGTACTGCACCAGGCGAGAGGAGACGTCCCGTATCGCTGCACTGCTGCGCACCTGCCTGCAGGGGGTGTTGTTGAGAGAGTCGTCCAAACCAGCGCCAATCGATGAGGACGACAACCCCGTGGGGAAGAAGAAGAAAGCTCTGGGTATAATACATGACTGTCGTGCATAACACTCCAGCTTGTTTGCATTATTTTGAGGTGTTAATGCCATTTCTCTCCCTCAACTCAGCCAGGAAGAAGATCCGTAAGCCTCTGAAGTGGATCGCGGAAGCGTACCATGCCGGGATGTCTGCGTCTGAGAGGCGGCGAGTGCAGAATAACTTCATGTGCGGGGAGCTGCGTGTGGTGGTGGCCACCGTGGCCTTCGGGATGGGGTTGGACAAATCGGACGTGCGTGGGATCGTCCACTACAACATGCCCAAGAGCTTCGAGAGCTACGTGCAGGAGATCGGCCGAGCGGGACGTGACGGACACCCGGCGCACTGCCACCTGTTTCTAGACCCAGAGGTCTGTGCATGTGTGGTACTTTCATTCATCATTTCACAGTAGTAACAATATTTTAATGTTACTTACATACTAATATAGTAAGACACTGCCGTGAAAGAGGAATTATCAGCAGACCTCAGAAATTGCACAATAGCTGCTTAGGATCTAAAACCTATAATACATTTCTATATTAATAACAAATAGCAAACAGAGTTGGATCTACACAACATGAACAAACTCCATAAAATCAGTCCCAATGTTTGGCAAAGGAGTTTTTATCATTTTACAAATCGATGGGAACAGATGATTTATACCCGTTGCCAAATAGGCCATTTCAGGATATTAGGAGAAGATCCACCAACATGTTCTTTGTGTCAAAATCCTTGATCCCTGACGCATGATTTATTAGACTGTGCTGGATTAGTCATTTTAGTACCTTAAACTTATTTTATTTCAGGTTTAAGGAACATAAACAACTTAAAGAGCACTGACCTGTACCACCTGACTGCTGCAGATTCATTTCAGCGTTGATAGTTTTGACATAGAAACGCATAAATCCTCCTAGTCTGAGGACGTGATCATCTCAGGATCGAATGCAATGATTGGACAAACATTTTTTGGTCCTGAGACCTCCACAGAAGAGACTGTATATGTACATGTTTAGAGCAAGTTTGCCGCACAAGCCCTGAGAAGTGAAGCCAAAACGTCTCGATCGTCCCCCGGTGGCCGGTCCCAGTATAGGTCATAAACCCCGCCTCCCGTGTTATTCAACGGTGAGACCAAATAAACAATTAAATTACACTTCAAATATCGTTTTTCCAAAGATGGTTTCTGTCATTAACGGTAGTTTTTATCACGCTGATGTCATTTCAAGTGTTTGTTTTTAAAATAAGTTTGTTTTTAGTTAGTTATTTGATGCGGTGGTGTGACGTCATGATTGACAGCTGTGATTGACAGGTTCTCTGAGCGAAGTAGTCACTGAAGCACCAACAGACTTTTTTTCGGGATCTTCGGAGGACTGAGGAGATTGGAGCTTTAAATTTAATATCTCAATTTCTATAATTAATTATAGAATTAATTGCGATACATTCTGCGAGAGTGAGGGCGGGGCCTTGATTTTCGCGGCTTTACTTCCTGCTCACGACTGCGCAGGTCTGGTCCCGAAATCGCTTCTGCGCAGACAAGATGTCAGCGCCATATCGGGATACTGGCGGCTTCACTTCTGACCAATGGAAGAGAGCGAAGGGGCGTCGTCCATCTTTTTTTACAGTCTATGGTTTAGACATTTAGACCACTTGTGTTATCGATTGCTATCAGGATTTGAAGAGTTTCAACCAGCATTACAAAAAGTGCTTATGTTTACATGTTATCATCTGATATTTATATTTTACTTCAGCTTTATTTCAGTTAACAAAATCTATAATAGTTTACATTTTTAATTTTAGTGTACAACAGCGGTTCTCAAAGTGTGGGGCGCGCCCCACTGGTGGGGAATAGAGACGTGACAGGTGGGGCGCGCCAAACGGGAGGAAATTTTCCTTTTTATGCCTTTATATCTTTATCCAGACATCCCAAATGTCCCGGAAGTTCCGGGAGTCTCCCGCATATTGATAGCGGCTCCTTGACGCCCGCAAATGAGATCCAATCTCCCCGAATCTGGAGCAAGACCGCGCACTAGAGTAGAGAGTGACTGCGCGCACGTGTGTGTGTGACTATTAATGCAGCGCGTGTGAGAGCAAACCGTCCTTATAGCTGTGTGTTGCCGCTTATTAGACCGATCACCCCCGGGGGCGACAACAAGTAACAGGAATTCCCCACCCCCAAAATAATGATTGACGTGACGTCGGCATATTAATTGTAGCGGAACAAACTTTTGCGCCCATAGATATAGCCTATGCTTCGCGCCGATGGGTAGCCAGGCGCGCTGGAAGCTGTTTCTTGCGTAAGTGGGGGCTGAGGGCTGGGTTGGAAAATATGTGACGTCATTATGTTGTGGCTTACGACAAGACATGAAATTTCTCTGAACATTGAACATGATTTGAGTGTCAGTATCAAGCCTGCAACCCTGCTTTGAGAAATTGTGCAATGCAAAACAGGCTCATTGCAGTCACTAATGCAGGGATAAATAGACCTGTCTTGCCAAATGGATTTCTCTTCTTTTCTTTTTTTAACAGATTGCAAAGTGGCACTTTTATTTCTTTTCTATTTTTGAGGCACTTTTATTTTCTCTATTTTTGAATTTCATGCAAGTTATGACACAGATGCACTTCATTTTCTTTATTTTTGAACTTGCTGTTATTTGATGTAGATAGTAAGTTTGTATTTAGATACAACTTGTTACTATACTGATACTACTTGTTACTTCAATAAATTGGAACATTTTAAGCTTGTTGCCTATTTCATTAGCATTGTGTCGGGGCGATGGAGGCAGGTGGGGCTTGAAAATTCCCCCTTGTCCAAAGTGGGGAATGACCGAAAAAGTTTGAGAACCACTGGTGTACAATAACAACACTGCAATAACTGAATTTTTCTTTTTATTGTATTGTTTGTGTTTAGGGTGCAGATTTGCACGAGCTGCGCCGGCACATCTACGCAGACACGGTGGATTATTACACCGTGAAGAAACTGGTGCAGAAGGTTTTTCCTCCGTGTAAATGCAGACAGATTCAGCAGAAGCAGCGAGATTTGGAACAGGTGAAACTTGAGTAATTATATTTATATATATGTATATGTATGTGTGTGTGAGATGTGTCGAGGTCTGATGTCCCTCCCTGCAGGCTGCAGAAGTCTCTGACAGTGAGTTACTGGAGATGGAGGTTTGTGAGGACACTGATTCCCACCAGCAGAGGAGCGAGACAGAACAACAGACACACACTCCACATGAGCACAACACACCAACACAGACAGCAGAGGAGAGCGACGGCGGGCTGAAACTGAGGGACGAGTGTTTACAGCGGCCGTGTCACACACACGAGAGAGCCATTCCCATGCAGGAGACCGTGGAGGCCCTCGACATCACGGAAGAGAGTGAGAAGACTTACAGAAACAGTTAATACAGTAGATCTGACGGTAGACGACATATTTGAAGGGATCGATCTCCTAAAAATCATTCACTCGCCCTCCTGTGTTTTTTTAGATCTCCATCTAGGAATAGAATGTTGTTTAATTGATTCAAATATTTATCCACCTCACAAGTTATTGCAATATACAATAGTCAACATTTGAAGTGGATCAAAAAAGGTCATCAAAGTTGTCCTAAGACAAGAGCGGGGATTGTTCAAAATTCATGTATAACTTTGATGAAAGGTTTTGATCCACTTCAAATGTTGACCACTGTAATTTATTCTGATCTTGCCAAAAAATTGCATAAAAATACACTAGGATTCTTTTATGAATGGAAAGTTCAAAAGAACAGCATTTATTTGGAATGGCTGATTAAACAATGTCAATGTGATTATTCTTTGGGGGGGGGGTGAAATATTCCAAATTAAATATGTTGTCTTCTTCAGTTAAGATCGATATGGCTCAGTGTGTGTGTGTGTGTTTAGGTCTGGAGACTCTGTTGTGTTACCTGGAGCTTCATCCTCAGCAGTGGGTGGAGCTCCTCCACCCGACTCTCTCCGTCTGCAAGCTGCAGTGTTACGGCGGGCCACAACAACTGCGCAAGATCACCAAACTGTACGTCACACTCTCACACACAGCATTATAAGCTTTATAAGAGCTCTTCAGAGGCGTGTGTGGTGAATCTGCGTGTGCTCAGGTGTCCTCCGGTCGCTGTGACGCTGGCGAGGAAGCGCATGGCGGGCGAGCGTGTGGAGTCATGTGACGCGCTGGAGTTCGACGTGGTGGAGCTGGCGGACACGATGGGCTGGCAGCTTCCTCTGGTGAAGAGAGGCCTGAGACAGCTGCAGTGGGGCTCCGGTGAGAGGAACAGTCTGACCTCTATCATACAAAATCTAGTTACCTTCCCTTAATTGTCATGAAAAATATTTGATCAGAAGATTATTAAACAAATAATACATAATTAAACATGTGGGCTGGAAACATGTGGTTCTATTCTATTATGTTTGTGCTGTTCTGTTCTATTCTATTATGTTTAATTGTATTATTTTGCACTCTATTCTGTTTTTTTATATTCTATTATGCTCTATCCCTTTTTTTCTATAGGCTATTATATTCTATTTCTTTTTTATTATGTTGTATTCTGTTTTATTCTATACTATTCTATTATGTTGTGTGTTTTTGTTTTATTTTATTTTACTCTATTATACCACGGCCTGTTTAAATACTCGATTCTGATTGGCTGGAAGGTGTGCAGTAAAACCGTTTAATGCACAGGTAGTTCCAGTCAGTTTGATTACAGTTCGAAATTAATCCGCTACTATAAACATTGGTAACCATAGTAACAGAGTTACACTTGCAAAAGAGTGAGAGAGAGAGACACATATGAAAACGTTAGGTAGGCTCAGAGCCATAGAGAGAAAGAGTTGCGACGCTCTTTGATCGCTCGCGATGGCTGTCACGTGGTTCATGTAAGCCCCAAGTTCCAAAACATACGCGGGCTGTCATGTTCTTCTATGGGACAGACAGCAGCGATTGCATTATTGACCGGTAAATATAAAATAAAACACACACCCAAGTACTTTTTCAGCTGTTACTGCATTATTGCATTTTGTTAATGTCAGTTATGCATTTGGAGAGGCAGGGTGACAACGAAATAGCCTACTACTGTATATTACTTAGATACGTTTTAGGCTTTTTTTTTGAGGGAAAAGACAGAGCTAGATAAGATCGAAGACGACAAAGATGAGGTCAATACGAAAAAGACAACTAAATGGGCAGTTAACACTTTCAGTGACTTGTTGCGCCAAAGACAGAACAATTGTGATTTCGAGACCTAACGTTACTCTGCTTCTCTTTTAAATGAGACATTTCGGGAGTTTTATGCCTCTGTTCAGTCTACCGCTGGACGCGAATACAGTGTTGCAAGTTTGATGTGTCTCAGAGCAGGTATAAACCGTCACATTACAAAATACAACATCATAAGGGATAAAGACTTCAAGTCAAGCAATGCCGTCTTTAAATCAGTTTTAAAGCGCTACAGGAAAAATGGAAAAGACACCAGCGTTCATCATCCGCGTAAGAAAAGTTTGGTTTGACATACAGCTAATTCATTTAAATAAATGACATGATTAGTTCAAATAAAGCTTTCCTTGTCACTGTCAGTGTTGCCTATCATTCATAAATAATTTTAATAAATCCATGAATCATTAAGTTAGCTATATAGGGCAGGGTTCGAATTATGATTTCATCTTTGTGGGGGTCTCTTTAAAGAGAGAAAAAAAAGTAACCCATGAGCAGGCGTGGTGTATGTGATAAATAAATAGCTAAATACTGCACTTCATTATTTTGAGTTCAACGTACGTTTCTTAATACAGCTGTAGAGAATATTTGGGTGGAGTTCGTTACCTCTAGGGGGGTCTGGGGGCATGCCCCCCCAGGAAGAAAATTTTGTACATTTTAAAGATAAATTCATTAATCTGGTGCACTTTGAGTCACCCGAATCCGCTGTTAAAAATAATCCAACCGCCCAAACATGATATTCTTTGATTTAGATCTGCATCTGATCATCATTACAATTTTTCAAATTCTCAATGTTAAGCATGATAATATGGTAAAATATCACACTGAAGTAGGCTGATTTAAAATTAACATTTATTTAAATTAAAAGTTATTCTTTGGCCAAAATTACATTTCCTTAATATCCTTAACAGAGGCTTTTTACTCCCTTCAAAGTTAAATTGTCAATGTTTCATTACATCACTGTTGGCAAACACTCTTATCAGAATAATTTTTTTACCTTTAAAATAGGGCATTTTTCCCTCTAATTTTATGTAGCCTATGCTCCATCTTTCTTTTAAAATATTCCTTAATTTGATCAATACATTAAATCAGAATAATAAGACAGTAGGCTGTTACCAATCAAATTAAATAATTTACATTGAAAAATTACAACTGTAGTAAATGCCCTGATATGTTTTCCTTGATTGATTTTCTCTAAAGAGAATTACGTTGTTGAAAACGAAAGTAAAAGAGTGACGCTCATTGCGTTTTACCATGATAAGAGTTCCGTGTCTTTATTAAAATCAACACATTATAATGATTTATCTTTCATCCACCCTCGATTAATTTGAATGTAGGCTAATTTTTTTTATTATTTGTCTCGCCCGACCCGCGCAGCACTATCGGCAAACTATACGGTTTGAGAATGGCCACAGGCCGAGTTTTCTTGAGAGCCGGAGGCGGCTGCCTCGTAATTCCATGCAGGAAAACCCTGAAAGGAGTTCGCTAAAATATTGGTGGGGGCCTACCTAGCGTCCCCCCAAATCATTTTTTGCTAGTAGCTACTTTTGTGTATTTAAAGGGATAGTTCGGCCAAAAATGATATTTAACACATGCATTACTCACCCTCAAGCCGTTCGAGATGCATATGTCAATCTTGTTTCAGACGAACACATTTTCAGTTATTTTAGAAAATGTCTTAGACCCTTCAGTGGATATAATGTGAAGCAATGGGGTCCACCTCCTTCAAGTCCCAAAATGTGCATATATCCTTCACAGAAGTAATCCATCCGGCTCCAGGGGGATAAACAAAGGCCTTATGGGGGTAATCCGTGCGGTTTTGTCGTAAAAATATACATATTTAAAACTTTATAAATGAAAATATCTGACTTCCGGCAACGATCGACGCGCGTTCACGGGTGATGGAAGTCGGCGTACGAGGTATGACGTAGCGTAGGAACCGTCGTGACGTAGAACAAACGCGCCTGCGCAGCCAGAGTGCAGAGCAAAACAAAACTACTCAGTGAAACAAGATTGACATATGCATCTCGAACGGCTTGAGGGTGAGTAATGCATGTGTTAAATATCATTTTTGGCCGAACTATCCCTTTAAATGTCTGAAACCTAAAATAAACATTATGTGGTTGAAAACACTGAATAGTTGTGATATATTGTGTATATTGAGCGCATCTGTCTCTGGCTCAGCGCCAGCCAACGCGCGAAAGCACTTTTGAATTTAGCAGTTGATCACGTGATGCACTGACTGTTCTAATCACAACGCTGTGAACGTACGTGCGAAAGGGTTAACAAATATGCCTCGATTATTGAAGAAAAACGTGCTTTATTTGTAATTTAAAATGATGGTGCTGATGATTTTTAGAGCCCCCACAGGTGTAGGATTTTACTGCTTTCATGGGAGCTCATACTCTCTCTATGGGAGCTCAGCTCCCACTGGATCCCACGTAATTCGAACCATGATATAGGCCTATGCTTAAGCAACGAGGGGACTGTAGACTTTAAAGGAACACTCCGACTTTTTGGGACTTTAGCCTATTCACCTTATCCCCCAGAGTTAGATAAGTCCATACATACCTTTTTCATCTCCGTGCGTGCTATAAGTCTGTTTGACGCACCCACCGCTAGCCTAGCTTAGCACAAAGACTGGATGTAAATGGTTGCAGCTAGCATACTAATCCAAATAAGTGACAAAATAACGCAAACATTTTCCTATTTACATGTTGTGATTTGTATAGTCACAGAGTGTACAAAAAACAAAGTCACATGAGACACAGACATATTTTAACAGTATAAATACTGGGAACTATATTCTCTGAAGGCGAAGCACTGCTACTTGGGCGGAGTGATAACCGCAGCACCTGAGACGTGCCGTGGTGAGGAGCAGAGAGCGCGTCTCAGGTGCTGCGGTTATCACTCCGCCCAAGTAGCAGTGCTTCGCCTTCAGAGAATATAGTTCCCAGTATTTATACTGTTAAAATATGTCTGTGTCTCATGTGACTTTGTTTTTTGTACACTCTGTGACTATACAAATCACAACATGTAAATAGGAAAATGTTTGCGTTATTTTGTCACTTATTTGGATTAGTATGCTAGCTGCAACCATTTACATCCAGTCTTTGTGCTAAGCTAGGCTAGCGGTGGGTGCGTCAAACAGACTTATAGCACGCACGGAGATGAAAAAGGTATGTATGGACTTATCTAACTCTGGGGGATAAGGTGAATAGGCTAAAGTCCCAAAAAGTCGGAGTGTTCCTTTAAAGAAGAGACGCTCATGAGTAACTCGCGCACGCATCTCTCTCCCTCTCTCTCTCTCTCTCTCTTTCTTCTCTTTCAGTTCTCTGTCTCTCTCTTTTAATAATGAATTTAAATAAATGTGATAATTCATTCAAATAAAAGCAATCCGATGGCTCTACTTTATTTAAAGCGGACGGAGTGCTAGAACTAACGAGCCGTAACCGCTTCGCGTCGGGTGGTTCTTCGCCTCTACATCGTGCATTAAAATCCTTTAATGCATGGCTAGCCATGGATTATCCCTTACTTATATTATGTTGCCCTTCTCCAATCTATTTTACTCTTCTCTTCTATTTTAATTGTTTTATTCTATTATATTAATGTTGTTGTATTGTCTATTCTATTATGTAATGACAATTTTATTTGACTCTAATCTGTTCTGATCTGTATTTTGCACTCTATTATGTTCTATTCTATTATGTTGTGTTCTACTTTATTATGTTGTATTCTATTTAGGGCTGTCAGTTAAACGCGTTATTAACGGCGTTAACGCAAACCCATTTTAACGGCGTTAATTTTTTTATCGCGCGATTAACGGTCTTTTTGGCCTAGCAAACTTTGTAGTTTTTTTTCACATGCTTTTGCAACAGGGCGCGGCATGGACGTTTTGAAAGCGCAAGCAGATCTAGCTAGACCGGAAACAAAACAACAGGCACGCCGCACACACTTGTTTGGGCTTGCGAGCCGCGCGAATCTCTCTGCTCGCGCGCGGAATATAATGTGCCGAGCACGAATCTCTCTGCTCGAGTCGCGCGCGCTCTCAGATACACGCTGCTCTTGAGAATTTTCTCTGGGCTCACTCAGAGAATATGCCTGCACTTAAAACGTGTTCAGTGCAATCGCGAATCTCTCCTCTTCCCCAGCTAACAATTTTAGGTTATAAGAACGTTTTCATAACGTTCCCATTAAGTTATAAAAACGTTATTTCTGAATGTTATAGGAACGTTCAAAACGTCCAGTTTTGAGTGGATGACGAGCGCGAGACGCCGAAATGGATGCCAATAAGATTCTGAATGGAAAGTTTACTTTTAAAAAGTTGCCAAATGGCTCCATTGACGAGACCAAAGTGATCTGTGTGTTTTGTCGTTGTGAACTGAGCTATCATCATCATCGCAGCACGTCCAGTCTGAAATACCACTTGATGATGGCCAAGCACACACACACACACACACACACACAGCTGATGCGAATTCTCCGCCCCCTCGTCAATATCAGGGCCTCGTCAGTATTCCTTTCACCCTTTTATTGATGGACAGTGTTACATTGTGTGAGAGATTATTTGCTCCAAGTGAGAATGTTAGTGTGAAATTGAACACAATAAATGCCAATGTTGTTTTCAATAAAAAACATTTGCACAAAGCAAGCCGATTCCATGTTGATAAGAGCATTAAATGAGAAAAAATAATGGGACAAAAAGAAATCAAGAGACCTTTAGAATAGATAAAAATATGCGATTAATCGCGAGTTAATATTTTAATCGTTTGACAGCACTAATTCTATTATATTGTTTTATTTCTATTATTCTACTATTCTATTGTTGTGTGCTTGCTTTTCTGTTCCATTTTATTTTACTCTGTTATATTTGTTCTGTTCTATTATGTTACCCTTTTCTGTTCAATTTTATTTGGCTCTATCCTGTTCTATTTTTTTTATATTCTATTGTATTCTATTGAAATTGTTATTTCTATAGAGTGATTCTATTTTGAATCACTCTAAAGGCACGATTCTGCCTTTCTGTTTTATTCTATTTAGCTCTATTCTATTCTTTTTTGTTCTGTTTTATTTTATTCTGTTTTGTTCCGTTCTGTTCCATCATGTTGTATTGTCTGACGTTGTGTCCCGTGTTGTCCTCAGGTTCGTACGGAGGCACAGGCAGGAGTGGAGTTCACGTGGAGTTCTCAGCGCTGTCCTTCTACTTCCGCTCGTACGGTGACCTGACGCCGGATGAGCTGGACGCGGTCGGAGCGTTTCTGCACGGGAGAGTGATGGCGCAGGAGAGGACTCAGCTGTACCAGCTCAAAACCTGCTTCAAAGCCTTCCGCAGGTCCGACCCGTCACACACACACACTCCACACCGCTGACCTCATCACTCAGACTTCTTTATCGGAAGTCACTTCGGATAAAAGAATCTAATAAATGAAAAAGGGATCATTTATCCAGCTGAATTATAGCAGTTTTAAAGTGCCACCGTTTATAAGAACAATAGTGTATTTTGAAAATCTTGTTGTCTTTCACTGATAGAGTATTTAGCATTCAAAAGTCATTGCAAGATTTGCATACTGAAATGTGATTGGTCTTTTACATGCACTGACATTTGACTCGAGGGAATGGCATCATCTTTAATATCTCTGCCTTTATGTGTTGTGTGTGTGTGTGTGTGTGTGTGTGTGTGTGTGTGTGTGTAGTGTTGCGTACCGTAACTGCAGTCTGTGTATGGATGATCTGGAGGAGAGCAGGAGTCACGATCTCAAAGAGCTTCTGCGCGATTACTTTGACAAGAGGAGAAACCTGGACCTGAGCAAACACTATCAGGAGGAAGAGGATGAGGAGGAAGAGCTCAACAAATGCAAGGTGTGTTTCATCTCGAGCAGATGTTTATGATGTGTTATATCTGAATCCTCAGGTGTGAATGCTGATTGGTTGTGTTGTGTCCTCAGATGAGGGACTGGGAAGGGCAGATCTGTGCTGACATCAGAGGTTTCCTGTGCAGTCGCAGCGATGAGAAGTTCTCTGGTCGAGCCGTGGCCAGAATATTACACGGCATCGGTGGGTTTTTCTTCTGATATTTTTCTCAACTAGGGGTGTGCGATATACACTCACCTAAAGGATTATTAGGAACACCATACTAATACTGTGTTTGACCCCCTTTCGCCTTCAGAACTGCCTTAATTCTACGTGGCATTGACTACGTTTACATGCAGTCAATTTTCGGGTTATGGTCGGGTTAAGGTCACTATTCGGGTTTCTGAAACATTAGGAATAACCCGTTTACATGCGTGAGCAGAGAGAGTTACTCCTGTATACATGGAATTGCAATATCTCGATGTAAACGCGACACGCGGTTAGCGTCTGGACGTACGGACAACCTTAAGACGCAATATGCGTCATTTCCGATTCTTCTTCCTGTATCCAAAGAAAACAACAACAGCAGCACGCGGATAATGAATAGTTCGGGGCAGATAGCGATCGCCTTTGTTTGCGCTTTGGTGCTGGTAACGTTACTGACCTCGCTCCAAAAGTATGCTGTGCTGCGTCTCGCCATGTTTACTTCCGGTATACTGCACGCGGGGTTTTGTATGCGCCGAGAAGTTTCTCTACTCAAAAGACCAAGATTCCTTGCGAATAGAACATGCGCAGAACACACATCCCTATGGGGATATGCCGATGCGCGTTTACATGACCAAAAATTCGGGTTAGAAAAGGGGTACCCCCAGGTATAAAATCCCGGTTTTTAAAATCCGGGATATGAGCATATTCGGGTTTTTGCCAGTGTTTACATGGCCGTTCGCGACCGGGTTATTGCTAATATCCCGGTTTTGAACGGGTTATTGGCTGCATGTAAACGTAGTCACTGATTCAACAAGGTGCTGAAAGCATTCTTTAGAAATGTTGGCCCATATTGATAGGATAGCATCTTGCAGTTGATGGAGATTTGTGGGATGCACATCCAGGGCACGAAGCTCCCGTTCCACCACATCCCAACGATGCTCTATTGGGTTGAGATCTGGTGACTGTGGGGGCCATTTTAGTACAGTGAACTCATTGTCATGTTCAAGAAACCAATTTGAAATGATTCGAGCTTTGTGACATGGTGCATTATCCTGCTGGAAGTAGCCATCAGAGGATGGGTATATGGTGGCCATAAAGGGATGGACATGGTCAGAAACAATGCTCAGGTAGGCCGTGGCATTTAAACGATGCCCAATTGGCACTAAGGGGCCTAAAGTGTGCCAAGAAAACATCCCCCACACCATTACACCACCACCACCACCAGCCTGCACAGTGGTAATAAGGCATGATGGATCCATGTTCTCATTCTGTTTACGCCAAATTCTGACTCTACCATCTGAATGTCTCAACAGAAAGCGAGACTCATCAGACCAGGCAACATTTTTCCAGTCTTCAACTGTCCAATTTTGGTGAGCTCTTGCAAATTGTAGCCTCTTTTTCCTATTTGTAGTGGAGATGAGTGGTACCCGGTGGGGTCTTCTGCTGTTGTAGCCCATCCGCCTCAAGGTTGTGCGTGTTGTGGCTTCACAAATGCTTTGCTGCATACCTCGGTTGTAATGAGTGGTTATTTCAGTCAAAGTTGCTCTTCTATCAGCTTGAATCAGCCAGCCCATTCTCCTCTGACCTCTAGCATCAACAAGGCATTTTCGCCCACAGGACTGCCGCATACTGGATGTTTTTCCCTTTTCACACCATTCTTTGTAAACCCTAGAAATGGTTGTGCGTGAAAATCCCAGTAACTGAGCAGATTGTGAAATACTCAGACCGGCCCGTCTGGCACCAACAACCATGCCACGCTCAAAATTGCTTAAATCACCTTTCTTTCCCATTCTGACACTCAGTTTGGAGTTCAGGAGATTGTCTTGACCAGGACCACACCCCTAAATGCATTGAAGCAACTGCCATGTGATTGGTTGATTAGATAATTGCATTAATGATAAATTGAACAGGTGTTCCTAATAATCCTTTAGGTGAGTGTATGTCGTCAATGATAATATCGTAATTGTTGTTTTAACGTTGTTTTAAAACTAGAGCTGCATGATTAATCGTTAAAAGATGAAGTGTAAATTAATATAAATGCAGCATCAAAGTCTTTTTTTCTCTGAAATATGTCACTTTGTTTTTCAGTGGCATTGCATGCATAGGTTATAATTTTTACATTTAAAGGTGCAAAAGTTCTAATATGATTTTTGTTTCATTTTTAACGTCACAATAATAAAACAGTTGTGTGTAGACTTTTTATATCCAGATATATCCCATAATATTTCTTGTCAATATCGCACATGGTTTTATTTGCGAGTAATTCAGCGTGTGCTCGTCTCCTCCTGCAGGAAGTCCGTGTTTCCCAGCGCAGGTGTACGGACGCGACCGCAGATACTGGAGGAAATACATTCAGTTTGATTTCAATGAGATCATTCGTTTAGCCACTCAGGAGATCATTAGAACGAGGTAACAAGACGCCCTGATCACATGATCATCTGTGTCACACTCAAACTACAATCTGAGGTTATTTATTTGTGCAGTTTTTCATTATTTTCTAAATGTTCACATGTTGTGTTTGATGGTTTTTTACTTAATAAAGACTCTTTTGTGGTGAATCAGAGTGAGATCTGTAATAATATCAGTTGTATTTGCTCAGTCTGTCCTGTAGGAAGGGCTATTGTGCTGTTTTCTTCGAGTCAATTGACACATTTATACTCAACATTCCCCAACAGGTATCAGGTATTAATATTTATAATCTAAATTCATCACAGACACATCTACCGCTGTATGTTTTATGTGGTCTCTCCTACAGTTAGCCTTTACTTACACTCATTACATATGAATATAAACAGACTCCGAATTCGTAAAAAAAAGTGTGCTGGAATCTTTTATAAACATTTTTTTTTATTTTTTTCCAAAAGGTTTGAAAAGAGGGTTTTTTTCGCATCAGTAAATCATTTAGGAAACAAATCGACACTTTATAAAATGTATACAGGCATCGTTGGTTACATGAAGAACCTTCGACCTCCATGAAACCTCACCATTCCACAAAAGGTTCTTGACTTTATATAGCAGGTTTAAATATATATATATATTTTAGAGGTGGGCATAGATTAATTTTTTTAATCTAGATTAATCTTGAAATTAATCTAGATTAATCTAGATTAAAATGGCTCATTTGAATTCTCCCGAAGCCATTCAGAATGTGTGTGCTACCCAAATAATGACTAAAAGTAAGTCTTTGAGAATAGTTTGCTGCCAAAAATGCCATTCGACAATCGAGGAGCAAAAGTCGAATATCGTTAAAAAACAAAACAAACAAAAAACGCAATGACAGAAAGGGAGGCCAATTTCAGCTTTAGCGATTTGTCAGCAAACAAACTGTTTATTAATTGAACAAGTAACATGTTTTCGTCGTTTTTTTTGTTTGTTTTGTTTTTTTAACATAGGCCTAGGCTAATTGGAAGAAGAAGAAAAACAATACGCACGACAGTCCGTTTTTGCATCGCCAATGCTTGTTAGATCAAAAAATAATGTAATATATGTCAATGATTTTATGTGAACCTGCCTTGTTACTGCAATAGCCTCCTTTTTAAACAAATTAGTTTCAATCAATGTAAACTATTCGTGTGATTATGCCACTGCGCCATACACACACATTACCGCGGGATGGCGGGTGTTCATTTCATAAACTGTGGACAATGGTAGCTAGCTTATTTAACCGGTTAACCAGTGCGCCGACGCTCTGAATCGTTTTTTTTTTTTTTAGCCTATAAATTAATGTATGTCCAAAAACCGGATAATGTCATACTTTTTAGTGCTATCGTGTCGTAATAATCTGTTTGGTTGTAAAATGTATTACCTGAATGAAATGAAATCGAATGTATCTTCCTGTGGAGTCATTCATTCACAGACAGCATACGAAGATGTTCAACTAATAAAGATCTTCATCGCTGGCAAAAATATGATGCATTTGCAGATTTGCTTTCACTAGACTAGACTGTAGATCGGCCACTTCATCCAACGCTCTTGATACTCTTAAATCTTCCTGTTACTTACGACTCCTCGAGTGTGAATTGAAAGCGCTTCAGACGATTCAGTGCGTGAGGAACTGAACAGATTCGCGAACCGATTTAGACAGATCTGACAACTTGTTTGATGAAGTCTTTGAACAGAATCGACTCAAAAGAGTGATGCATTTGTAAATGAGCATCGCCGCTCATGCCCATACAAAGGATACAGCGCGCTTGGAATAAACTCATTTAACAACGTATTGCATTAAAATAAAGTAACGAGAGGAACGTCGCCCAACGTAACAAAATAAAAGTAGCCTACACCTTGTGTCCCTTACAGGAAAATACCCTGCTGCGCGATCTGTGACAGTAGGCGCGGTTCAATTATGTCATACTAGGCTACACATTAGAATTGCGCGAAAATATAACGATATTCGAAAAAGCTATTTATGATCCCAACCCAACTTTGATTAACGGCGATATTTTTTTTATCGCCCGATAAGAGTCTCACGTTAACGCAGCACGTTAACGCCGATAACGGCCCAGCACTAATATATATATATATATATATATATATATATGCTTAACATCTGTTTGTGTATAATTTAAAAAATCCCCCAAAATTCATTGTCAGTAAATTGGACTGCTTCTAAAAGAAATAAACCAAAGGGTAATTTCACGATGCAGGTCTACAAGCCAGCGGAGAACATAACATTCTTCCTGGAAAGGTGAGAATGACAAAATAAAGTGTTGTGTGTGTCTTACATGCTGATTCTGTTCCCCCCATGTTTCTTACACAAGGAGGTTTTAGTATTTACAAAACTGATTTGTAAAAGTATTGTTGTCCCCGGGGAAACTCTGCATTCTCTCGTTCTACCATAAATGTTTTGCTCTCTCGTAAAAATATTGGGTTCACAAGAGTTACACATCATTACCATGTCCCTTTAGTGACTCTGTTTAGGGGCTCTGTGTACACTATATGACATTAAAAAGTACTTTGAACTGATATGTTTTTGTGTCTGTATACTCGTGTAATATTCCTCTGCATCTGAACTGTCACATGAGCTGAGAGTCTCACTGCAGACACAGCAGGAGAAGCAGCTGGCGTGGTACACTTGTCCCATGGCTTGGCAGGCCCAATCAGCACCAGAAATGCCTCCTGTGCACTTTGCACACTTACCTGCAGGCGGCAGACAACACACAGAACATTCAGATTAATCAATTCATCCGAAATTAAAGTTTTGCATGTAAACAGTCAAAGCAGGGGAAATTCCTTACATGATAAAAAAAAAAAAAAAAAAAACTTGGTTCATGAATTTCAGCACCAAAGTACCATTGCCAAACCATCCCACACAGTACACAAGAAAACTGATTGAAAAGATTGAGCATCAAATTTTAGACTACTTTAATGAGAAATTCTCTGATTCTATATATCATCGTTTATAAAGAAGTGAAAAATATAAATATTTAATACTTTAATGAGAGTCGCTTGATATTCACTTATTTATTTAGTGGTGATTGAGACACTTTTTGCCATTGAGATGAATTGGGGAAATGTGTTCCAATCAAACTGAATTCATCCTATTTATTTTTATTCACTTACTTTCACTAAACAAACACTGGTTAAACTTTTAACCCTCTGGGGTCCTTCATTTAACAGTCACAGTCAGGACCTTCGGGTCCAAATGGATACACATGGATAGCACATTTTTACCACTAGTGGATTTACACAGCTCTCTGTAGAAAGGCTTGCGAATTGTGTGTGTGTGTGTGTGTGTGTGTCTGTTTTGCACTCTTGATGTTTTATAGATTCACCCCTTCACTGTTGTGTGCTTTTTTTCTGGATCATGGCTGATTTGTAGATTGAACGCACAAAAAAAACCCCTGTGTTTTCATATTTTTGACAATTTCCCATTAATTTTCTATGGGGGTCCATTTGGACCCGAAGGTCCTGTGTGACTATTTTTTTTTCAACCACTTAGACTATTCAAATCCCGTCCCCAATTTTTTTGGGTGTTCATAGACCAAGTCAACAAAGTCACCAAATTTCGGACCATTCCGATGAAGCTATGATTTTTTACTTTTTTATTTATTTAAATGCTTCGGGTCCATTTGGACCGAAGAACCACAGAGGGTTAATTGAGTAAGATCGTAACAAATGTATAATCACTATTCTCTCTAGATTTAACGTTAGTCAAATTAACTATAACAAGCAGGTTAAACAAGCCATTGCTTACTCTTTGGAGTCAGAATCCAACAAGTGCGTAAATCTATACATCGAATGTTATTCCTCGTGCCATTTACAAGGCAAAAAAATAGTTTTTGCGTGCATATGATACGCAGTTACGGCGTGTAAAAGCCTACGCACACGCTCCCCACCCCTAATCCTATAACCCAAGGGGGTTTCAGTGCATATAGCATATGCACGCAAAAAAACATTTTTGGCGTATAATTGGCACGAGAAATAACATTCGTGGTATAGATATACGCACTTTCATGAGATTCTGTTGACTTTTAGAATGAAGTTCAAGGTTGTGATGGTCATGTGACTCATGTCCGATATCCCTGGCCAGTTATTACAGCAAATCTTATTGTATGAATATGTTCAATTTTATATCCAAAAAGAAACGATAAATTTTATTATTTTATTATTATTTAGCGCGCGATGTAGCCTATGTTTTTTTCTGGGGTTGTGCGTCACACAATCGTGCAGATCTGAATACTGAAACTGAGCATAAACTGCATGTAAAATCAGTTGTTGTCACTATATATCCCAATAATGTCTTAGTTATATCAAATTTAAAGGCTTAGTTTTATAATAAAATCTCTGTAGTTTTATTGTAGTGGCAAAACAAAAGATGACTGAGAGATGTATAAATAAATGTATCATAGCCTATTTAATACTTAAATTTGAACATTATTTTTTCAGCAAAAAAAAAAGATGTGTGGAAAATTAAGAAAACCTAAGTTGTTTAGTAAGTGTTCATCTTGAAATATTACTAACAACATAAACGTTATTGTTACATTTACTTAAAGGAGTCATAATGTAGTATTAACTTTGCTTTGATACCCACGCTCTATTATAGTCATTTCATGCCCTTCTAAAAAAGAAAAATTGGAAAAAAATAAACACAGAGCTCGTTTGACCCTTATTTCTGAATGCATTATTGTCTCGCGAGATCTGATGCGAGGTTTTGGCTGTCGTGGACGGTCATTTTAATAATGCAAATGAGGGGCGCGTTGATTGGTGGCAGGAAGGAGTGGGCTTGACACCGCAGGTAACTTCAGCATATCATTCCAAAAAGAGATCATGGCGCAACCCGACCTGGCCGCGACCTACGGGATTCAACCGTATATGTTTGAGCCAGACTCTGAACCAGAGCTGGAAACGGAAGAGGAACAACAGTCAATTGAAGGACGTCTACATCAACATGTCTCTGAATGGTAAAGACAATTTTTTTGACTGAGACATAGCCTACATTAACATCAGTAACGAGCTAAAACGTTTGTTTTTGCTATTTTCTCCCACATAAGTTTAGCTTTAATTTAATGTAGATTACATTAACGGAGATGTAGTCTACTTTATTTTCAGCTTACAGTGGTTATAGAGATTAACGTTTGCT